TCCGTAGAGCGCTCAATTTGCCGCAGGGCAAAGAGCGGAACACACAAACACTTTCTGTTTTTGTAAATGATCTACCATGTTGCCTATAATGATTGTGAATTGTGCCGCAGACTCTCCAGTTAATGCATCTCCTTATTTCAATTTGCTGGCCCATGAATTTTGCATGCATCCTCTTACGTAAATTCTGCTGACGATGGCTGACTGGCCCGAAACGTCAAGAATTTCTCGACATCGCTAATAAAAGAATTTTTAATCCAGCGCATGCGCCAAGAGTGAACAGCAACTGAATTCTGAAGAGAGCTGTTGTCAGTTAACAACCCCCCCCCCCCCCCCCCCCCCCCATACACACCCACACTTTTATTTACAATGCAGTTGCATGATGTCCAGCGCTTTCTGAATATCCTCTTTAATACGTACTGGAAATATTGTCAAGCCTTTTGTCATGATTGCAGCCAAGGAGCCCGTATGCTCCTTAGTGCTCCATGGATGACGCACATTGCATTAATTTTTTTTAGAATGCAGTGTAATTATGATACTGATATCCAGGCCCCAGTGCTTTTTCAGTCCGTGAGGGTGACGGCCTAACTGAACTGAAATGACAAGCCTGCGATAGACTGACTTACACGTACGTTTCTGAAATTCAAGAGTCGTCTTCATTCAGTCTGTGCATTGTCGGCTCGAACCGGCACACACAGTTTAAAATAAAAGTCCACAGGCACAGAAACACAGAGCTAGTGGAGCGGCCTGCTGTCACCCATGGCGCACCTCCACTTCAACGCCATTCTGAAAGCGCTTCCTGCTCTTCTAAAAAAAGACAAAGAAAGTTGAGAAAGTGCTTTTAAGGTGAAGAGCGTTCAAGACAGAAAGAGAAACTGGTCCTGTTGGAATTTCAATTTGTCACAACTTTCATCTAAGACAATCATCACACAACTGATACTAAAACCTGAGACAAATAAATTATTAGTTTCTGCTCACGCTTGAGCCTTCCCATGGCCCACCCTTCCTTCCGCCTCCCTAGGAACGCCACCCCCACTCCCACCGTGACCCCCCATGGATCAAGGCGCAGATGCAGCTCCCAAAGTGGTGGGGGTGAGTAGATCAGACCACCAAAGTGGTCAAAGACCGAAAATCCCATTCGCTGCATGCTAGGCCCACTTTCCAGTTTCCATGCAATGGACAGGTACAGTTACAACGAAGGACCTCCAATTAGAGTTCAACATGTGCAGCGCTTATCATCGTGAAGAGATCAGAAACGCTATTCGAAACAAAGTGGCCCTGGAAAGGCTCGCGAATAATCACACCTGTGACTCCACGTGGTGCAGGTGGAGAGGAAAAGCGCTGCCGCTGATGAAGTCGAAATCACGGTACGCGGAAAGTGCCCCTTCGGCATTGGAAGAACTTGGAAGAACTTATGATGAAATAAATAGACAAGGATAGTGCAGCAGCCATGGTCGATAGCTGCTGCCTTGCAAGAGATTGTCTTGTCAGTACCATAGCCTATAGGCTAGTGACCATTCTGCGTTCTATCTTCCACGCCAATTCCATTGTAGTTGAGCCTGTAGTACACTGTGTAGATTACAGCCGGTGGAAACGTTACGTGAATGGGGGAACATTATCACTGGCGAAGTAAAAATATAAAATTAAATAATACCAACCAACTTCCTCCATTGTGAGCTCTAGCACTAACAGTCTGTACTACTAATTTGACTGAGTTTGAGGCGTGGCAATGAGTAAACCAAGAGGGGCACATCGCTTGTAAGTTGTAGTAATCTACACTGTCTATAACCGACACAGCAGAGTCTATCCTCTGCATATCCACATCGTGCTCATATGCAAACAACTGCACTGCAAATAGGCGGACCTGATCTACCCGACGAAGGATCGGAGCCAAGTATAAGGCGACCACCTGTCCTAGAAGACCACTGAAACCAGGACCCAGGGATACTATTTCCAGTCCAAATGACCCTGGATAAAGAGAGTCACCACCTGGTAACAGAGACCACGTTTTGAAGGACCTTGAGCGGTCGTCTTAGACAGGTTTCACTAGTACGAGTACTTACATGCATGAGCCTACATTGTAGGAGACCCACTCTCTCCCCCTCAGAGGATAGTAGGACACACTTGACAGCGGTCGTCACAGTCAGTGCTGGGAATGGCGATGAGTGATCAACCCTGGTCAACCCTTCAACCATCGTCCAGTGCAGTGTCTGTGTGGCTTTTGCTTTTGTACATGATATTGATAATTATCACTCCCTTAGTATTGACTCACATAGATTTTTGCCATACCTAAACAGTCAAATATTCCTGCATATTTCACTCCTTAGGGCTATATTGACTGCTTATATTTGACTGCTTAGGGGTTGCGCAGTTGAACGGTGCCTAGCTAGTGCAGCATTGTCACTGCATGAGTAGGCCGTGGTGCAACGGTTGTGCAATCATAAAACCGGGATTCATGAGGTTATCGTTCTGGAATTTGAAATACGGACTGTTTGTCGTGATAAATCTAATATTGACTTCGTACTTGGTCAGTATAGGAAATAAAACCTCGTAAAAGACCTCGGCTTCGCCTCGGTCTTTTACTCGGCTTTTATTTCCTATATTGACCTCGTACTCAGTCAATATTAGATACTGATTGTAGTGTAAGTGTGTGTGAATTTTTCGTTGCATCTTTGCCAAATCCACATTGCACGTGCAAGTAAATGTGGGGAAACTCCAGCAGCTGTCGGCGATGCATGTGCGCATCTCCGCTCGAACTTTCCATCGAATGTTCCCAATCTGCACCTTTGGCACAATGTATATTTTAATAATGATCCATTGGCGTTAATATTCCATGTACATTCCGCACTACACAAGGTACACGCTGTGGCTCGTTTGAGCAGGGATATTCGCGCCGGTTTGCGAGCGCTTTCACACAGCTGTCATTGTGGCGCAGTCGGCTTCATCGGGCCGAGCGGAATGCACAAGACCAGGCTGGATGGCATCATGGCGAACTACCGTTACCTGTCGTTCTGTAAACCCGTGGCATTGCACACGCACACTTGAACATTTTCGGCGAATCAAGTGCGTTGCGTGAACTGTAGCCTGCTAGCTCCTGCAGGGTGCTCCGATTGCACTGGCACCTGTATGCCTCCGCGATCCGCTTCTCAAAGGCAAAACTCTCCACAAGATCTGCCTGCCTTTACTCGCTGACTGATATAGCCATGATAACGACATGTGCATTACATTTTGAAGATCACCAGGATCAATCTTGACTTGACTTGAGACACACGCACCGTCCGAAAATATCCTATTAGATGATCGCTTTTGATACACCACTATGCATACATGCAGTCGAATCTTCGAACTTTGCGTTCGCTCTCCACGACTCCAGTGCAGACTATACTTGTCTCGTCGATCACTGAGCCAGTTGTAGTGCCAGCTGAAAATGGGCTACAACCAGGGAGTCGTCAAGCACCGGTGTTTGACTACTCCCTGGCTACAACACTGCATCATCGCGCATGCAGAAAACTAGAAGATCCAACTAACAAACTGATACTTCAACTTCAAGACTAAAGCATGTTCCCGGCTTGCAATCCTGTGTGTGGAGGATCGAGCGAGATCCCCACAATCACTACAGTCTACAGCCAGGGTGTTTCGACATCCGGACGATGGATCGGGGCCAGCACCGCGTTCGGGCGAGCAGCCCAGTGTTCCTGGTCTATGGCCCAGTATGGGGTTTGCGGCCCGCGGCGCCGTTCCTTTCATGCACTCGCACAACACAGAACCTAGGCTAGGGGCCTAGGCTACAGTAAGATCGGGCGCCGAAGAACGCAGGGGCTCGAGCGCAGCCTAGGAAAGTTCTTAAAGGGGAAGTTAAGGCAAAAATTAAAATTTCACCAGTTGTAGTCTTCGGGGTGCTGAGTCGAATGGTCTTGGTCCGAGGAAGCTGAGACGCTCCCTTCCTACTTGAATCCCAATCGAACTCGCGCACTTCCACCGAAACTGGGTGACTGCGCCCTACTAGATGGGGATTTGTATGCAAAATGTCACTAAAAGCGCCATTTCGTTCTTATAAAAGCACGGATGACCGCGATTGGCCCATATGTTGTAGTCTTTGGGACGCTGAGTCGACTGGTTTTGGTCCGAAAAGGCTGCGATGCAGCGTTCCTCCTTTATTCCCAATCGAACATGGTTGAAGAAGCGGTCACGTGGTCCTGGGTGCCCAAATCACCTGGTCACCACGCCAGCAGGTGACAACTTTCACACCAAGGTTCAACTCGGGTTCAACTCGAGTGACAGGACTGCACCCAAAAAAGGTCAAACAGGCTAGTAAGTTGTACCCTGCAGGCACGGTGACCAGGTGACTGGTGTACGCAGGAGCACGTGACCGCTTCTTCAACCATGTTCGATTGGGAATAAAGGAGGAACGCTGCATCGCAGCCTTTTCGGACCAAAACCAGTCGACTCAGCGTCCAAAAGACTACAACATATGGGTCAATCGCGGTCATCCGTGCTTTTATAAGAACGAAATGGCGCTTTTAGTGACATTTTGCATACAAATCCCCATCTAGTAGGGCGCAGTCACCCAGTTTCGGTGGAAGTGCGCGAGTTCGATTGGGATTCAAGTAGGAAGGGAGCGTCTCAGCTTTCTCGGACCAAGACCATTCGACTCAGCACCCCGAAGACTACAACTGGTGAAATTTTAATTTTTGCCTTAACTTCCCCTTTAAATTTTTGATTCTAGCCAGACCGTTCTTATTCACACGCGCGCGGCGAGTCGAGTGACGTCATGACGTTTGTCATGTATATGTACATGTACATGTAGTGCAATGTACATAGTACAATCATGTACTTCTTAAAGGGGAAGTATACCCTAAAATCAAATTTTCACCAGTTGTAGTCTTCGGGGTGCTGAGTCGAATGGTCTTGGTCCGAGGAAGCTGAGGCGCTCCCTTCCTACTTGAATCCCAATCGAACTCGCGTACTTCCACCGAAACTGGGTGACTGCGCCCTACGAGATGGGGATTTGTATGCAAAATGTCACTAAAAGCGCCATTTCGTTCTTATAAAAGCACGGATGACCGCGATTGGCCCATATGTTGTAGTCTTTTGGACGCTGAGTCGACTGGTTTTGGTCCGAAAAGGCTGCGATGCAGCGTTCCTCCTTTATTCCCAATCGAACATGGTTGAACAGGCGGTCACGTGCTCCTGCGTACACCAGTCACCTGGTCACCGTGCCTGCAGGGTACAACTTACTAGCCTGTTTGACCTTTTTTGGGTGCAGTCCTGTCACTCGAGTTGAACTCGAGTTGAACCTTGGTGTGAAAGTTGTCGCCTGCTGGCGCGGTGACCAGGTGATTTGGGCACCCAGGAGCACGTGACCGCTTGTTCAACCATGTTCGATTGGGAATAAAGGAGGAACGCTGCATCGCAGCCTTTTCGTACCTAAACCAGTCGACTCAGCGTCCAAAAGACTACAACATATGGGCCAATCGCGGTCATCCGTGCTTTTATAAGAACGAAATGGCGCTTTTAGTGACATTTTGCATACAAATCCCCATCTAGTAGGGCGCAGTCACCCAGTTTCGGTGGAAGTGCGCGAGTTCGATTGGGATTCAAGTAGGAAGGGAGCGTCGCAGCTTCCTCGGACCAAGACCATTCGACTCAGCACCCAGAAGACTACAACTGGTGAAAATTTGATTTTAGGGTATACTTCCCCTTTAACTAGTGGGTGTCGTAAATGGGAATGACTGTACATATGTACCTGTACATGTACATGTAGCAGTTACTGTTTACACGAGTACATGACATGTACTCACCTCCCATACATGTACAATGTATACAATTTTAAAAGTGTTCTTAAATCTGATAATTCTAGCCTGGACTGTTCTTAAATTTTGCCGGTTTTCCAGCCTGGGTGTTCTTCGGCGAGGTGTTCTTCGGCGCCCGATCTTACTGTACATTTGTAGGGGTCAACGGACAGACAGCCCTGGGCTGATCCGGGATATGCCCCTCGTCCGTAACATGCTAGTGACTCAGACTGCTTTGACCGGATCTGTAGGACTTAGTACTAGTAGACCTACATCATGAGTCTGTAGGTCTACTAGGAGTGCTAAGTGAGAGGTCAGGAATAGGTGGACGACTCACGAGGATGAACAGTTCAACTGCCTGAGCTGACCCGACTCATCCCAATCTTTGGCTAGCCTAGGCAATCCGCAGCATCCCAGCGCGAGATTCCCGCCACAGAGAACATTTTAAAAATTGTGTGCGGTGATCTCAACAAGCGATCGATGTTTTGGGATGTAGATGACAGCGAGCAGACTCATGGCGTCGGTTATTGCAGGGTGTTGTGATCCTGGTCCGAAGAACTCTACAATCATTGTGGTAGTCAGGGGTTTCTCTCACACAATCATAGAGCAAGCCGCATACAGACACGCTTGCATAGGTAACTACCAACTAGCATGATATCCTCGCCCCTGAATGCAATCATAAAGAATCTTCGATGCAGACTCAGCTACAAGATTGTATATTATACCAGCATCTCCTGAACTATTCCATGATCTTGCACACCGCAGGTGCGCTGTGGACGGAGCGCTGATGGAGCCGCAGATAATGGCACCTTGGCGAAGGCACCTCGTCGGCTCGCCAAGCCACCCAGGCGAAAACTGCCCTCGAAAGCGAATTCCTCACAGTGCGCTCTGCGGATCGAGACGCGCCCCAGCTCGGATCCATGCAGGCTGCCTTCCCCCTGGGCCCTCGATGGATGCATTTGGTAATGGTCGCGGAAGGTCTGTAGAAACATAAAAAGGTGACGATCGATTCGTGTTGCAAGTGAAATGTTTCTTGAACTCGTGGGAAACGTTGCGTGCTAGCTTGTATGAGGAAAAGGGACGATATCGGGTCTTGTCGTAACAGCGCTATTTGTAGTTAGCGATCACTGCAAGATTGCCATCGAGGGGTGTTCACGTAGGCCGAACGTTGTCTGACTAACTGCATACTTGCAATCGTTTCGGCTCACTTGTAGCTCAGGCCGTGCGTGAGATCTCCAGCAAATTGCACGTACATGTAGTCTAGCAGCAAACCAGACGTCCCATGTGCTGAAAACACCGTGTGAATGCGAGTTGACCGCTACTGATGTCCTGGGCTGTAGCTGGCTAGCTGTGTCCCTTGAAAGTTGAAGGTGGCGTGAAGGACGAATAGCGTGGACGGAAGACAGGGCTCGTACCGTGGTGTGGATGCGCTCAGGAAAGCGCGGGAGACGTCGTTGCAACATCGCCGATCGTTGGGCTGGTGCGTGGCGAACCCCTGACCGCGTTCCCTTCGACTTTGCCCTGTCTTCGGAGTAGCCCTCACACCTCCATGCCATACACACGGCATACGGTCTTACTTGGCAGAAGTGAGTTTGGTGTGGAGATTTTGATCACGTACGATTCACACCTACGAAAAAGTCTCTGGTCTGTCACCTCCCCCCACGTTTTGTGAGATCAGCGTCCCTGAACACCAGCACTAGGGACTCGATAGGGTGCATCCAAGCTCGTTGACATTTGGCCACAAAGGAACACGGGCTTGTGCATCGTTTGGTCGTTTTGCTCGCGAGCAGAGGCAACTTGTATTCTGCCTCCTTGTCCAGGCAAAGTGTGATCTTCGTTCAGCGTGGAAAGCTGGTTGGCGTTATTCCAGTTCAGACATCGTTTGTCCTCGTCGGACTGACGCTGACTCCGAGGCTGAGTGATCACTCCATCAGTGTGCGCGCTTGTATATTCAGGTTGTTGTTCGCTCGTACAGTCCTGGCCACCCGGCACACTGACCGGCATTGCTGTCACACAGTCAGTGAGTTGTGTGAGCTACAGAGCTGCAGCACATAACCGATAAACGCGCATTGTCTCTACGCCGTTGTTCTCTGTACTACGCGCACTGCAATTCGTCGTGGAGAGAGCCCCAACGCCAACGGCCTCGTGCCTCGCTAGCTGCTTGTTAGAGCAGACGATCAGCGATATCCGCCGAAGAGAATTTCCTACGCAGAGCTGTCTGTCACATTCTCTGTTTCTCAGCATATTTGCGTAGCACCATCATCTGCAGGAAGAACAATAGCCACCGGCCTGCAAGAGCGAACTCTGTTGGAGAGAGACGTTGGGATCGAGAGCGCGCTAGGTCACCCTATGCTATTGTTGTCAATCGCTTTTCGGAGCATTGGCCGAATCCACAGAACGGACGTTGCAGTGAAGTACGGAGCAGTTGCGTTCTCCTTACCTTAGCTCGCACTCTGACTTCTGCTGATCTGAGTCTCAGTCGTTCACTTTGTGGTTACTCAACACTGTGGTGAATGAGCGAGGCGGCAGCTTACACTCTGAAGCAGTGGGAATCGAAGCCATTGTGTGACTCTTGGAACAATGTGCTCGGCCTAACTCTGCGTGTTTGTATCTGACAGGCAGGTGGACGTGTTACAATACCCAACTCGAACTCAAGTACCTGCAATACTAGTACTAGTAGTAGCAGAGTTCTAACATATTTCCATGTGACGACGGCAGTATCGTCAACCTTGGATTTGTGGAAGAGCGGAAGTCATTTCCTGTTCCGTTTTGTCGCTGGTTGTCGTCCCCAGACCCAGTCACGTGTGCTGGTTCGTGACCCCAAACAGTGGGCAAAGGCCGAAGTTCAGTTGACGTCTTGTTCCGTGCGAAACGTAAACAGTGACGGAACGTTGCCCGCCCGCTTGTACAGGGCATTGGAAGCGCGCGCGCCCCTGTCGTCGCCTTGGCTAGGCAGCCGACGCTGAACTGATGGCGAAATGCCGCGCGGAGCGCTGCGCTTCGGTGTCGGTGTTCGAGGAGTGGATCGACAACGGCGACGTGGAGATCTCCCCGTGGCTCAGCGCAACATTGCCTCGTTCTGGGGTGAGTGCGGGCGGACCTGGTGTGAAACGATACCTCTCCTCTCGAGCTAGCATCGCGGGCAGCGGCAGATGGGAAGGAAAGCACACCAGTAGCTCAAGAGGTTCTTCCACGGCCGCAATGGACACGTTGTCCATCCTTCGTTCCAGCAGCGCACAGCCGTCGTGCGTTCGCACAGGTAGCGCGCACAGCGGTGGAACGAACTCTAGCGCCGACGAAGATCGGCTGGTGCTGCACGAGAGCAGTAGCGAGGAGAAGATCGAGGCTATGTACGAGGAACTGGAGATCGCTAGGAAGCAGCTAAACGTGGCAGGTACGTGTGGCAGTGCGCTAGTGGAAGAGGTGCGCCTCCTGAAAGAGCAGAACGAGCAGCTGATCAAGGACAAGAGTCAGCTGCAACTGGTAAGCACATTCTAGCCAAGTTACAAACGAATTTGATCTAGCTCTGCGGCCAACGAGACAAATAACCGCGATGAGAAGTTGCGTTTTTTAGTTTTTACCTTGCACTTCTCGAACGATTCGACCCTTCGGTGAGACGTAAAGCTTTCATTCCGATGCCCCAGCATGCACTTCAGCTAATTGTGTAATCCAATGTACCACTGTTACTGTCGTCGGTTCCAGGTAGACCCCTTTCTTCTGCGATTAGTTACTAGCCCGGTTAGGAATGCGCGACTGTGATGCTCACATCGTTGTGAACGACAACAGGAAATGCAGGAAGCGGCCAGAGCTAAACTAGTCTACAGTGGAGCATTTAAATTTTACTAGCAGATGACTTACGAAATACCAGTCTCTGTGTGTGTGTGTGTGTGTGTGTGTGTGTGTGTGTGTGTGTGTGTGTGTGTGTGTGTGGTGGGGGGGGGGGGGGATGTGTGTGTGTGTGTGTGTGTGTGTGTGTGTGTGTGTGTGTGTGTGTGGTGGGGGGGGGATGTGTGTGTGTGTGTGTGTGTGTGTGTGCGTGTGTGTGTGTGCTTGTATGTGTTTGTGTGTGTCTGTGTGTTTTGTGTTTGTGTACATGGTGTGGGTAAGTGCTTGTATAAGTGTAAGTGTGCAGGGGGGGGGGGGAGTCACAGTGCAGAGCCTATACCTTGAACACAGCACTACCATTGACAGCTAAAGCAGGACACAGCAAAGAAATCACAACCTCCAGGCAAGCGAGCATTTCGTGTAGTCTCCGAAATCAATAGCCTATGATTATCATATACAGTGAGACCTGTCTAAGACGACCACTCATGGGACCTTCAAAACGTGGTCTCTGTTACCAGGCGGTCTCCTTATCCAGTGCCTTTTGACTGGAAATAGCGTCCCTTGATCCTGGCTGTAGTAGTCTTCTGGGACAGGTGGTCGCCTTATCCGAGTGAAGTAAGGCTATGTAAAGCGCGTGTATATTATGTACCAGGACGTTTTGTCCAAGACGCATCGATGTCATCAAAACAGTTACAACACGTAGAGTATTTTCCGGAGTACAAGTCGCACTGGGGTATAAGCAGCACCCAGATTTTGTTTCACTAAATACAGACATGTACATGACTTGTACTCTGTTCATCACCGTTAATTGGATCATCGTAGTACAAATCGCACCGACTTTTGTTTGGGTGAATTACAGGCACTGTAAACCAGGAATCGTTTACGCCCGTTTTAGTTCGCGAATTGCGATGACGGACGATTTTGCGCCCGGCAAGCGCTTGCGATTGGAGTCGATTTGATGATTGACTCGAGTCTACAGTTTCGCGTTTCGTGCCCACCTGCTTCCGCGATTTCACACCCATCGCGAAAATCGCGATCGTTTCAGGAACACAAAGAACACAAGGGTTAACAGTATTGAAAATACGGCGTACACTCCGGAAAATACGGAACATAAAATTAATACACAGCTCAATCTCCGGACAGCTAGCTGTTTCGACTTTGCTAGAAGAAAGTACGGAATGGAGACGAAGAAAGTGGGAAGATGTACATTTTTCTTACAAGTACACACTGACTCAAATCTTGTTAGATTAGAGGAGCAAAAGGGTGATAAGACCTTGTGTACTGGGATGGATACTACTGTGCAGCTTAGCACAAGTGATCATGGTAGACAGGTGATGTGTTGAAGCATAATAAATGTTTTTTTTGCAGAAATGATCTCTTGGAAGATAACATTTTAATGTTCTGTATAGCTTTGTGGTCTCTAAAGGAAGGCCGTCTCTAACGGCATGTGGGCACAACAGCTATGTGGTCCCCAAAGGCAGGTGGTCTCTGTGCACAGGTGGTTTTTAGAGTCAGGTGTTCCCTAAAAAACAGGTGGTCTCTGTGGACAGGTGGTCTCTGTGGACAGGTAGTCTCTGTGGACAGGTGGCCACTAAAGACAGATGGTCTCTAAAACACAGGTGGTCTCTGAAGCCAAGTGGTCTGTAAAACACAGATGATCTCTGAAGCCAAGTGGTCCCTAAAGACAGGTGGCTTCTGGAGCCGAGTGGTCCCCAAAGATAGGTGGTCCCAATAGTGGGTCCCATGAAGACAGGCGATTCCTTTATTACAGTGGGTCTCAGTGCACTGCTCACTGTCTGTATACTGCTTCATATTCAGGACTTGGAGAACGAGACGAAACGCTATCAACAGAATCTGAAACAGGCACGCTACGACATGGAGGCCAGCTCGCAGCTGATGGAGTCAGATCTTTCCGATTCACAGTCCACGGTATTGTGTCTTCGCGAGGAACTCAGGTTGGCTCGCGAAGACGCGGCGACACACGGTGATGCCATGCGGCAGATGAACGAGAAAGTCGAAGAGATGGAGGCTGAGATCAACGCCAACCAGTCTCCCTCGGTAAGATGCTTGTTATGCATCTGGACATGCTGTGTGTATGTTGGTGTGTGTGTGTGTGTGTGTGTGTGTGTGTGTGTGTGTGTGCGTGTGTGTGTGTGTGTGCGCGCGCGCGCGCGTGTGTGTACTTGGATGGGCACACCACACTCAAGCAACTGATCACCAGTTACTGATTTCATAATGAGCCGACGTCTTGGCATTGGGTACGAAGCATGATTTTGCGAGGCCATGCAGTAACTTTTCCAATCGCTTTACTCCAAATGGCCATTAGAGGCCTCTATGGTGACACGGCTACGTGGTTGATGTTAAATAAATTTTACGGAGATAGTCAACCGTGTGAATAAAGACCTCGAGTGTAACAGATACTTGGGGGAATAACGACACATTCTCTAGACTATTTGACTGCATGCGTTCAGCCTCACGAATATCCACCACTCGTGAACAACGGCAATTTTCTCATACACAAATGAGAGAAGTGGCAAGGTTAACTGTAGAGAAATCCACAAGCCTGCACTGTATATGATATGTAGAGGACCTTGATGATAACAGAGTACATATCTGAATGGCTTTTTGGAGGTGTGCTAAACTGATATCCGACTGTGTTTTCGTACCCCCCCCCTCCCCCTCCTGGTCTCCCCTACCCCTTGTACCCCTTTCCGCCCTTTCCCCATCAACTCCCCCCCCCCCCACCCCAATGCAGGTGAATGGCAACAGTCCAGTGAGGCGTAACCGTCTGCGCACGGTGAGACGTCGCAGTTTCCGCTACGCCGGCGCTCGCCGAGTACCCAGCAACAGCAGCCAGCAGTCGGACGGCGTCGACACGGCATCGGTGACGACAGTGACCTGTGAGATCGGGGTAAGTCAATTACTGTGAGTCAACAAATATTCGGCGCATATTTATTTTCAGCTTGTTTTCGGCCTGGTCATGTTTGGGGAATGCCCCAAGTATCGCCGAAGTCGCACCAACCTCTTCTTCACATGGTCATGTTTGGCCGAAAAAATTTTGCTGCCGAAATTTTCTTTTGCAAGGTTCAGTGTGACAGTGTATACAGGCGGCAGCAGTACGGGCCGAAAATTTGATGCGACCGAAATGGGTTATAGCTTTGAGAGGCCGGAATTTGAATGGGCCGAAAATTTGTCTACTTACATTATAGATGACAGAGGCTGTGTTGCTGTACAGTATTATTCTTCACTGTAACGAAAATCCACTGATGAACGTGGCAAGAAAATCGTCTCTTTGAGACTTCGATGTTGTGTTTTTTTTTTTGTGTGTGTGGTGATGACGGTGACACTTAGATTATGAATTTATGAATACATTTTTCACACCATAGCTGAGTGGTTAGAGCATCGCTGGCTAGAAGCGAGGGTCCCTGGTTCGAGTCCTCATGGTGACAATAAATGTTTCTCTTCAGATTTTTCCCGTTTGCGTCTTTCCCTCAAGCCAGTGGATATTGTTTTAGGAAGCTTTTTTTTGTCTCTTTTACATGTACTGATAGCCATAGTTTTGATCTTTGCAATGGACGTTCTTTGACACAGTAGGACGTGTAATGAGTGTGATTGTGTTCCATCTTGCTGGTGCTGATGCTTCTGCTGCTTTGTCAGATTCAAACGGAAAGAAATGATGAACTTGTGTGCAAGGAGGCGCAATGTCCGCACGTCGAGCGCCTCAAGACAAAGCATCGTATTCTCATCGACGATCTGCGCGAAGAGCTGACGCAGACGAACGACTACGCAATGCGACGACGCAAGCAAGTTTGTGATTTGCAGGTAAAACATTTGTTTTCAGCTATTTTAAAGCAACATGCTAATAGGAGTATGACCATGTCTGCATGATATGCGTCACGTGTAGCGGAATCATCACTTCCCAAGCGGTGTATTTTAGGACCAGGCGAGAAAGAGAGAGGAGGAGCCAGGGAGAGGAGGGGGCAAGCCATAAGTTGCAATATGGCCAACCCAATCCATCGTTCATGTTTTTTTGGAAGTCTGACACACAGACTTTCCCGTCTGGTATAATAATAAATGATGTGCTGTGCAACTGTAGGGATGATGAGGACTCCCGTTATTGAGAACAAATGCCGTCGGTTCCTTGGTGTTCAACCTAAAGAGGGTCTAAATCGTAACCGTTAGGAAATTTCACTTCTCAACTCCAAACTCCAAAATGGTCTCTTCACTGCGATTCAAATCCAAATTAAGACTTACATTACACCAAATTTTCGGGCTTGGCCCATCATTAGGGTAATGAAAAGTTTAACTGTAATCATAAGGGGAATGTTCTGATCGTCTCCGCTGTAGGATGAGCTGCACATCTGCCAGGGCCAGCTGCAGGAGTTCATGAATGAGAACACGCACCTGCGCGAGGAGCTGGAGGACCGTGTCGCCCAGCTGCAGATCTACGGTGCGCTGACGCCGAAGACACCCGGCATGTCACTGCAGAGTGAGATGGACACATTCAGGTAGGAGAGATCTTCTCAGTATCGCCGTCCCGGTCTTTCAGTGCTGTGAACGACTTTAAAAGCGTAGTGTGTGTGTGTGTGTGTGTGTGTGTGTGTGTGTGTGTGTGTGTGTGTGTGTGTGTGTGTATATGCTTGCCTCTTTGAGGCACTGCATCACCTTTAGGTGGCAGTTTCAAGGTCTGTGTGTGTGTGCGTGCGTGTGTGTGTGTGCGTGTGTATGTGTGTGTGTGTGTTTGTTTGTGTGCGTGTGTATGTGTGTGTGTGTGTTTGTTTGTGTGTGTGTGTGTGTGTGTGCGTGTGTGTGTGTGTGTGTGTGTGTGTGTGTGCATATATTGTGTGTTTGTTTGTGTAGAGACTAGCACCATTTGACCTGTCCCGCTGGGCACTGCGTAGCCAGACTTGGCAGCAGCATCAATATGTGTGTTTGTGTGTCTGCACCTACAGGTATCCGATATCGATGGTCAAGACCATTCCCATGTCCCCGGCCCGTCACGCAGCCGCAGAGCAGACTCTCTCCACGGTCAGTGAGGTGGAGAGCATTCCTGAGGAGGTGCTGCCGGCTCGTAGCCCTGGTGATGGCGCATGCATCGTGCAGTGTGCCGATCTCCACAGCATCCGCGAGGTGAGAAGTCAACACTCTTTGCACATTGAGAACTTCGCTTTGTCGTCCTGTACTAAAGTACTTGTTTTGGTGCGTTTTATGTCCCCATGACGTCGAGACCTCAGGTCGGCTGAGGGCAAAAAGCCTCACCATCACTATGCTCCCACTATGCAATTTTTTTGTCTTTGCCTGTGAGCTGTGATCATTGTAAAAAAAACCTTACGACTGAAAGCACAACCCAATAACTGTCTTCAATATAACATGGGGTGCAATCGTGCCAAGGCTTAGAATCCACAATTTGCTGGCTGCTGAAACCGTACTGCTGTACATCAAACACAAGTTATTCAAACTCTGGAAATCGACGAAAAGCCAATTGTGCAATGACGTAATTCGTACTCACATAACACCCCACAAGCCACCTGGGTATGGCAGGGCTGCCACTTGCTCCGATTTTTCGGAAATCGTCAGATTTTGGATCGCCTGTCCGACAAACCGACCGATTTTGTTCCCCAAGAGGGACAACCGACTATTTTATTTTGAGCGCTTTTTAGTCCAGTTGGCCATTAATTCATAATTGACATAGTTGTAGTGCGTGTGCTGGACAGTTAAACATGTGTTCTGGGGTCCCAACAGCAAGCCGTTTTTCTAAAAAACTTCTCCGCGGTGGCCCTGCCCCCTGCACCCCGCCGGGGGAAACCCCTGGACCACCACGACAGATTTTTCTCCCTCCAAGTGTGGCAGCCCTGGTATGGTCGTGTGGGGTGTTGAACAGTGCATTGCTGATACCAGCGTTCTCACATGCATTACTCCTGCATTCCACATTTCACATATTACTTTGGTCATGCGCAATGGGCTTATTCACTCTCTTTCTTGTTTTTTTGGTGTCTGGCGTATTGTGGGTTCTGCACTACAGAGTGTCAAGGAAATAGCCCAGCTTCGTGACGAAGTTCAGGTAGCTATAAACAAACTCAACACCATCTTCTTAGAACATCATCAGCAGGACAGAGATCCACTCCAGCCGACCACCAACAACATTCTCTTTGATCCGAAGCAGGTACGATGTCTTCCAGTGCCGTGCAGGGGAGGGTGTCCAAGTCCCATGCTGGGTTCAATATCCCGTGCGGTTTCAATGTCCTATGCGGGTTCAATGTCCCACGCGGGGTTCAATATCCCATGCGGGGTTCAATATCCCATGCGGGTTCAATGTCCCGTGCAGAGGTTCAATATCCCAAGCAAGGGGTTCAATGTCTTAGAGGGGGTGGGGGGAGAGGTGGAGGGTCAGTGGCTCAATGCCCCATGCATGGGAGGGGGGGGGGGGTGAATGACAGTACTCGAAGCAGAGGCCTGGATGCATTTCGCCTCCGTTGTTCGGGAGTGTACTAGCACCTAATATGGTTGGTCATGTGACTTCTCATTATCTGCCTCTCTCCTCTCCGTCTTACCGCCTGCTACTGCAGCCGCTGAAGACCACAGTGTCCTTACCGATCAGCATGAGGCTGTCACGCCGTTCCTCCAAGTCCAGCCTGCGCACCAGCAGCAACTGCAGCGTCACCAGCACCAGCGGCGGCGGGGGACACGAGCTAGCAACCAGCGCAGCCGTTGCTAACGGCGGCGGCGGAATGTCGTCGTCGACGGCGATGAAGGACGGCGACAACGATGAACAGTGTAAGCAGGTATATGACATGGAGATCTTGCACCTGAGGGAGACGATCCGTGAGCTGCTGGCCACCGCCGAGGTCAACGCCAAGATCACCAAGAACTCCATGCCGGCGACTACTGCCGAGCCGACGGTTCGAAGCAAAGCGGCACGTCGCCCGCTGCAGAAGTCCTGCAGCATGGACGACGCCAACATGCGGGGCATCGCGATGCCCGTTCAGCTGGAGAAGCTCGCCAAACTCCAGCAGTCTCAGCATGGCTCGCCGCCGCCGTCGCCACGGATACAGGACAAGGAGGCGCAGGAGTGGGCCAAGCTGAAAGAGCAGCAGGCGCGCTCTCGTTTCATCCTGCACAAGGCCTGGTCGCAGATGAACTGTCGCTCCAACAGTGTCAGCAGCACCACTAGCAGCGGCAGCACTAGCAGGAGACGGGAGACTCTTATTCCGGCGCAGCGCTCCGTGTCCAACCAGGACCCGACGTGTTCGTCCACGCAGGTCGATGACAAGGTGCCGCTCTCCATCTTCAAGTACAGGTGTGTAGAGTTTGAGGGCAATAACAGTTCTGCTTACTGACGGAGAACTTTGCCTAGTTTGCAGTTTGCTCTGTGTGCATGGATGGATGGACCGAATCCAAACTTCTACAATGCAATTGCTCTGTGTACATGGATGGATGGACTGAATCCAAACTTCTACAATGCAACCCACCTGCTAGGTGCTCTCATACCGTCGTGGACATGGAAATCCGATCGATTGACTCGGGGCCGGCGCCCTCAGTGCGTACAGAACGCTGCGTCGGAGTGCACGTGTTGATCGCATGGGTACTCACGGCTGCATGGCCAGCGTCCTGGGGCCGCTCGACGATCGACCGGATTTCCATGTCTATGACAGTAGCACAGACGCTTGCTTTAGTGCTGGCATCGTGCATGTATAGGTGTATTGCTTTAGTACTGACCATGACCGGGTACCAGTGTGTTGGTCCATGTGCAACTACATGACATAATATGTATGTTAGGAAAAGAATTACCTCAGACACTCTTTGTAAACTTCCTAACGAGTGGCAATTGCAACGATTGTCCGAAATTCATACGTTAACGAGAAGATATGTTAACGAACTGGCAGTCTTCGGGCATATCCGCACTTAACACATAATTATGAGACACTGCAGCCTCAACAGAACTTACTATAATGAAGAAATGTCACTCGTTAAAACGATAGATTTACTTCCTCGTTATATTTACATGTCTTACAGTATCCCCGAGACGTATATCTGAATGTTGTACTCGCTGTGTCGCGTTGTTTTCCAGGCTCAATTCTCTGCAGTCTGAGCTGCATGAATCACGCTCAGAAGTGGACACCCTGGAGGAGCAGCTCCTGGAGGCCGTCAGGCAGAAGATGCACATGCAGGAGTTGCTGGACGATTGGCAGGTATGTGTGTATGTAAGCATTGTGCTGGGGATTGGCAGGTATGTGTGAGCATGGTGTTGGGGATCGGCGGGTGTGCGCATACATCAGGGGCGGATCCGGGGGCGGGGGGGGGGGGGGGGGGGGGATTCCGCAGAACCTCCTAAATTTCGCAAAGGTACTACTGGAAAGCATATGCATGTACCGTAAAGCACTGCAGAGTGTGATCTGTATACCGGTATTATGGTTTTCACACCGTCACACGTTGTTGCACTCTGCCATACGATTTTCCTTTCCCTGGCTGTAAAATCAAGGTGGGGTGCTCACGCGAGACGGGGCGCTCTCGCGGTACAGTACACCTACATGTATCAGATATTCAGTTTCGGCTATGCTGGAATGTCCATGTAGTGATCGCTGGATCCCCGCCCCGGCATACATGTACAATCATGCACAGTATCAGTGTAGTGTTGAGTGATTGGGATTGACTGGGTACTGTGAGAGCTATGGGACCAGGCTGAACCTAGAAGGCACTGACAAATTGTTCACTGCCGGAGCTGCCCGTTGTACGCGCACTTTGTCAGGGCCTTCTTCGTTCAGCCTGGTCCAATAGCTCAGAGTGCCAAAGCAGGTCATTCTCATGCGTCCTCTTGTGTTCTCACCTCAGTTTCTCTTCCCCCCCTCCCTCTCTTTCTCTCTCTCCTCCCCCCCCCCCTCTCTCTCTCTCTTTCTTTCTTTCTCTCACTCTCTTTCCCACACACACTCTCTAACTCTTGTCCTACTGTTTCTTCTTCTCTGTTCGCAGAGTGATATGGAGAAGGTTGTCTGCGATCGCGTAAACGCGCAGGCCACCAGGGACGCGATGAACAGAAAAAAGACGAGCAAAAGCAACTCGCGGAATTCCACCCCGGACTCGTCGCCCAAAAAGCGGCGTCTCTCTCTCGCTCACCTCCTCTCACCGGCACGCAATAGCCAGCTGAAAGCCGAGCAGGCCCGACGACAGCCGCTGCGACCCGCCAGGGCCTTCGACCAGCCCGAGAACTTCCGCTCCACCGACTTCTGGGCGCTTAGCGGCGGCGATGCGCAAAAACCCGACGCCAGACCCGCTCTGCGTGCTTCTCAGCACCGCCGCTCCCCATCGCCCGTGACGTGTGACTCGCCAGTGCTTCGTCGAAAGAGGTCCGGCTCGAGCAGCACGCAGACGAGCATCGCGCGCCCGCCCTCGTTTGTCGACCCCACCTCGCCACAGTCGGGCACACCACCGCCGCCGCTGTCGGCCTCTCGTCGCAAGTCCAGCGGAAACGCGTTCACCCTGCCCAAGTTCTCTGACTTTCGGCATGTCAAACGGTGAGCGTCGCGAGCGCATGGAATGTACAGTGAAACCTGCCTTAGCCTACCATCACTCAAGGGACCTTCAAAATGTGGTCCCCGTGTACAGGTGGTCTCCTTATCCAAGGTCATTGGACCACATCTCTTGGTCCTGGTTGTGGTGGTCCTCTGGGACAGGTGGTCGCCTTATCAGAGTGGTTGCCTTGACAGTTTTTACTGCACATGTACATGTACGCATATCGATACCTGAAACCTGGAACGCACGTCGTCGTAGCAACGACGGCGATGGCTTCCTCACAACGAGGCTGTGGACCCACCACCTGCAATACGGTGCATGCCGTTTGAGATTGCCAGGACGACGGAACACTTGACAACGGCGGAGGTTTGGTATCGGTACACACGCATACATACACACACACATGCACACACATACACACACACACACACACACGCGCGCGCGCGCACACACACACACACACACACACACACACACACACACACAGAGTCAATTACCTACCCGATGTTTCCGACTGGCTACGGTGGAGCCCTGCACTGAGCCAATATTTATTATGGCACGTCTTCTGCTCTCGTAGTCACCTTACAGCACACTGCATGCTTTGTGTATACGTATCGTCTATGCTGCAGAACCGCTCCCTGTGCTTTGAAGTAGGTGGTTGTGAACACATTGGATAGTGCGTATGTTCAGCGTAAACACAAACTGACTGAGCTTGTAGGACATAATGCAGAGGTCTTTCTGTATCAGAGCAAAAGATCCTTTACTTTCTATCGGATTTACAAGTAATATTATTTGACGGATCCAGTGAATCAAGTTCAAGAAATTTGGCATGCCAGAGCGATGATTCTTTATAAATTACTTCGATCTGTCTCCGACTCTCCGCACCGGTGAGATGTAGCTAACATACTGGTATGTTACACCGACGCTTGCCCGTGATTTTACGCAGCTCAAGTTCATTTTTATGCAAAATGCCTGGACGGTCTTCTATAGAAGGCTGCCCTGAAAGTACATGCAACTAAGTAACTGTTAACAGGTTAACTCAATTGTGGAGAAGAGTATTTTGCAGATAATTATTATGTTCATGATATTTGTACATTCAGATTTTCTATTGAAATTTCTCTCGTGTTTTCCTTTTCAACTCCTTCTTATACTTATGGCTATTCTCTGTTGACTTCCGATTTCTGCAATGAGTTTCCAATGTCTTCACATCGCTGAACCAGAAAGTAATATCTTGTAACCTTAGAAATATGTTGATTGTCGGGGTTGGTGTGAGACATGCCTCACATGGGAGTGGGCAACGAATGATGAGCGTATACTTGTTAAGACGTGGCTTACGACTAAGTATTACGTCGTAAGCTCATACCTCGGTTATCCGGACCCCGAAGTTGCGTTACTTACGGGCACTTGGGTCCACCGGGCACCCTTTGGACGGATGAGTTTCAGTGGAAATATTACTCTTTTCAGTCTTGTCACTTTTCGTGGAAGTCACGTGCCACATCCATGGCCTTTCCCCATTCAAATGAATGTGATTGGGAGGTTATGGGCAGTGGCCGGTCCCAGACCGCCTGGATAAACGAGGTGTGAGTGTACATGCATGCAGGCTCCCATGAAACCAGAGACAGAAGTGAAGGAGCGCTTGACTCCCTCTCGAGTATTGCATCGCACTCTTTCGGAATTAGTTTGAATGTATGTGCGCTAAGTGGTGCGCGTGTGGATGTGTATGTGTGTGTGTATGTGTGACTGTGTGCGAGTGTGTGTGTGTGTGTGTGTGTGTGTGTGTGTGTGAGTGTGTGTGTGTGCATGCGCACGCGTGTGTGTGTGTGTGTGTGCATGCGCGCGCGCGCGTGTGTGTGTGTGTGTGTGTGTGCGTGTGGTGGCGGTCAATTCTTCAGCATTGCAAGCTGTTGAATGGTGCAATCCCAGCACAAGTTGCTATGGCTTCTGCTGTAGCGTCGCTATCAGCATCGCCTTCAGCGATGGGCGTCAAAAAGGTCAACATGTGTGTGTGTGTGTGTGTGTGTGTGTGTGTGTGTGTGTGTGTGTGTGTGTGTGTGTGTGTGTGTGTGTGTGTGTGTGTGTGTGTGTGTGTGTGTGTGTGTGTGTGTCAGGCAATTCATCAGCCTTGCAATCTGTTGAATGGTGTAATCCCAGCACAAGAAGTTGCTATGTCTAACATAGCTGTTTGCTATCATTGCTTCCGCGATGGGCAGGTCTGAGATCTGAGTGCGTGTGTGTATGTATGTAGTAGTAGTACTAGTAGTAGTAGTAGTATTTATTATTTTACTAGGGCAATCCCCACAGACTGTGAGTCTTTTTGTATGTGTGTGTGTACTTGAAGTATGTGTGCGCCCCCCCCCCCCCCCCCATGCAGTGAGTGTATTCACACTGGTATTGTCACATCAGGGCAGTGGCCAGCAGTCCTCATTACTCCCCTTTGTCACACATGTCCAAGTCCACCTTGACACACGTGCTTGTAAAACCAGCCACTAAAGAAAGCAAGTGACTGGGGGTAGCGATTGTCACACATGATCACAGTTTTAGCTCAACGATACTAGTAGTCTCTCAATATTCTCTTTAGTATACAGTCATGTAGTCTAGCTCAACAATACCCTCTGTCTTGTACAATGATTGTAGTACTGTTCCCCCGTTGTGAACCATGCACATGATACCCATCCCAGTCTAGTCAGTGGCAGCGCGGTAGCGGAGAGTCCCACAAACATTCCGGGTCGCTCAGCTTCGCCTCGAGAAGGCGAAACATTCTTGCATCTACTTCACCGATACTAACTTGATTACGTTTCGAGCAGTACGAGCCCTTGAATCACTTCAGCGTTCATTATGACTATGAGTATTATTATAACTAATACTTGGCCAGCCCTGCACGCAACCCGTAGCAGCTGCTGCTCAGCTAGCTAGCATCTTCCCTGACTCAGCGTTTGTACTGGTACAGTAGATAGTTCACCAGGGTACAGTACAGCTACAGTACGAGTACTACTACAAGACCGACATTGTCCGGCAACGATCGAACCCCGCTGAGCATCGGTCCATTCCGGATAATGCCGGTCCATCTTCTCCAGCGGCCAGCGAATCGTTTGAATGTTTTTGAGTCCCAGTCAGGCAGTCGACACCAGCGTCTGCATAGCTAGCTGCCTGTATATACATGTAGCTGTGAGTCTGTCATCTGCCTGGTCATTTCCTGTCAATCCGCAAGGTCCACAATCATCACCAGCTAGCATAGCATGACATAACCGATAACCATGCGAAATAATGTCACTTGTCAGTAGATCTACCCAGCAGCAGTCAGCTGATCCATGATAGTTGATACTTCGCACTCAGCATCTCTCTGCGCCCAGTTTCACCCCTCCTATCAACAACCGTATCACCTGATCGCGCGCTGCCCGTAGCGCGCGTCCTTGCATGTTTTGCTGCTGCGCTAGCGCTAGGCCTAGAGGCTAGCGCTATCCTTGACTCGAGCTTGCAGGAATCGTACAACAAGAGTAGGCAGAGCTCGACGTGAATGTTGAAGCTGCCCTCTAGCTCTGCTATCGGCTGACGCTGGCACGGAAATAGTAATACAAAGCAAGTAGACGACGGCTTGGTCCAACTGACACTGCTCATACTTGGTCAAACGTTGCAAGCTTTTCAAGACGTGTTAGTAACGTTGTGCAGACGCACTGTGCATGTAGCGACGACGTTCAGCAACCCAGTGACGGTGAAGAAGCATCTGCAATTCCCTGTGATTGTCAGGAGTGAAGACTTGTTTCTGAGGAGCCGCACTATTCTGCGTGGTAAGTAGATCATCATCTACTTGTACTACTGTGGCCGTGCGCGTGCGTGGATTTGCTGGCATGTTTTGTTTGACGACAACACACTCCGCATGCACCCGTTGCTGGTAGATCTACCACTGAGTTTGTAGATCTACTCCATTGTAGTGTCAAGATAACGTCATGGCCACTATTACGGCACTATGCATGGTAGATCGCATTCGGTTTATGTACTGCTGTATATGCTGACGAAATAAAAATTGTGATTGTGGTCTGTAAGATTCCGACAGTCGAACTGTTGATATGAAGATGCTTCCTTCCATGATCCACTACTCCCCTAGGCCCTCTCGCACACACCGTGTAGTGCACAGCTGATACGCTTAGACTACACGCTAACATCATCATTATGCCATTCATTAGGAACTAACTAGCAGTTAATACAATCATGTACTTGAACACCGTCAACGGCATGAATACTGTCGAGAGATTCCATGCAATGTTTTTTTAAATACGTTTAATACGTTTGGCGTGACATGAAAGTTTGCGTAGGAAATGACGCACAGTACAAACGTCAGATCGTAAGCCAAGGACCCTAGAACAGGATTCACCAGAACAGCGCGTTTGGTTGGGTCTGCACCTGTCCTGGGTCGACCAGAACACGTTCTGCGTGCTCCGGCCTCGAGGCCGGAGCAGACCGAGCAGTTTCACTTTTTCACAGTGAAATCTGGCGGGAACATCGATTTTGGTCCCAAATGATCACGTCAAGAGTGCATAAACAAGAGTATGCAACTGTGGTTATGGGTCAGTGCGCGGCGCGCTGCCTTCATTACGTAACTTGCCATCATCACGCTCTGAGAGCATGCATTCAAACTCATAATTTCTCGTACGAGCCCATCCGTTTTTGCTCGATTCGATCCAGTACTTACGCGATCTCTAAATTCTGGCGCGTGAACTCCAGTTGCGTACGAAAGTTCATTTCAAACCAGAGGGAAAGTGCGGTGTTTGATTTTCCGCAGTGCGCGGACTGCAGCTGCATGATGTAATGAAGGCAGTGCGCCGCGCATCTGGCCCATAGAAAAGAGATCACAGTTGCATACTCTTGTTTATGGACTCTTGATCACGTGCATATGCTTTTGGGTTGGATTCGTTGTACCGTACAAAGTGACCATGGTGACCCATCCACATTTTGAAGAATGCACCAAGTTTGCCATATTTTTTCCGCAAAAATGTGCTCTGTTTCTGGAGTACCGTTTGGTTGGCATGAGGCTGCTCCATGTGCACCAGCTGTTCGATCCTGTCACTCTAGTCCAGATCGTACCAACCAAACACACCCCAAATGTGCCGCTCACGTTTGTATCCGACATTCGAACGCCATTTCCCTTTGCAAATGTTTACTTTGTACCAACAGTAGCTGCGCGCGGAATCTCTCTAGTAGCAACAGCTCATGTGCAGCAACAATTCACCAGTAACAATGATGTGTGAATCTTCACAGTCCTACATGTACACAGACACAGGTACAGTAAAACCTGTCAAGGCGACCACCTGTCCCAGAAGACCACTTTAGCCAGAACCAAGGGATGCTATTTGCAGTCAAATGACCCTGGATAAGCAGACCACCTGGTAATAATAATAATAATAATAATTCGCGGGATTCGCGTTGGCATCGCTTGAATGTTCAGAAACACACAAACTAGCCTTCGCTTCCGCAGGCCACCACTATGCCTATGCCTTGCACACCTTAGTGGCGAATGCAGACCTCACAAGTGAGTCAGGGGAGAGTAGGTGAGTCTCTCAACCAATCGGGCGTGTAACGGCCCATAACCCTGTAAACTGCATCCTTGTTACCCTCACTCCGAGCTGTGAGTACCCAGTTGACCGTGGGTGTCGGCGCAGTTCACCACACATAAAAAGTCTTTACTCACGTAAAAAGTCTTTACACGCTCCCTGCTACCAGCGCGGGTCTCGAACTCGGGACCTCATGATTCGCAGGCAAGCCTGCAAACCAATCGGCCATATGCGTTGGTCCACCTGGTAACAGAGACCATATTTTGATGGTCCCTTGAGCGGTCGTCTTAGACAGGTTGCGCTTTAAGCATCTTGCATGATTTTTTATCCGCACGGATAGCGCTGGAAACTGTTGCAAGCGATCCGAATGCGACTAATGGAGCGTTCGGCACTTGTGCCAATGGTTGTGAGACGTATCCTCTCATCCCCATTGTTTACAGGCACTGCATTTGGGTTATCCTGGGTGTTCGTCATGAGTTCCGTTGCGAACGGAGGCGAAAATTTGCTTAGGAAAAAACGTTACGAGTTATGACTAACTGCCCGCCAACGTAACCAGATCCTATACAGTAAGCGAGTGCGACACAATTTAATTGGCTTACCATCCAAGTTGAAAAAAAAACATTTTTCATGCAGGTAACTTACATGTACTGTGTTGTACTGTGTTGTCCTGCATGCAATGATATCTCTGGCTGTCCTGCTAGAACACTGCCAGCACATCGTGACGCCTTCTCCTCCTCCTGGCCACCGCTGTCATCTCCATCATGTCTCTCGGCTACCATAACGTTCAGCTGCACATCGAGAACTACAGCGGCGTGCCGATGCGCTTTGAGAATCTGGTCTACAGGCACGGCATGATCGACGACTACTCCGAGTGGCCCACTGTGATCTCGCACAACTCCAGCGTGGACATCAAGAGTGTGGAGCGCAAGTGGAGTGTACTCGGTATGTACATGTGCATGGCATGTGTATACAGCTGGTGCACACATACCTATCACATATTATATATTTATATTTACTACAACATCTCAAGACTCGGTGGAAATACCGGCCAATGTTAAGAGAGTGGGTGATTGCCAATCACGGCGATAAATAAAAATAAGGGGAGGGAAAAAGAAAGAGTAGCAAAATGAACAGCAACAACAACTCCGTAAATAAAGATAATGTCAAATAAAAACAGTGAAAAACACAGAGACGCAAAGGACATGTGGATAATGAGCTATTTATGTCGTAGTAAATAAGGGGCGGCACGGATCTTAAACAGGCGGAGTGAGGTCACATAACCACCTATCACATGACCACCTATCACATGACCACCTATCACATGACCACCTATCACATGACCACCTATCACATGACCACCTATCACATGACCACCTATCACATGACCACCTATCACATGACCACCTATCACATGACCACCTATCACATGACCACCTATCACATGACCACCTATCACATGACCACCTGTCACATGACCACCTAGCTATCACATAACCTAATAGATGACCATTAGGCCTAGCCCAAATTTGCTCGGGGCGCTTCGATATTTTGCCGGCAAATTTTGCCCGATCACTTTCCATATTTTGCTAGGCATTGCCTTTCGTTTTCGATATTTTGCTCCATTTTGCTCCTGCTTTGTGGCAAAAATGGCTTCGAATGAACCGTCTACTTTGGTAAAAGTGGATGGTGACTCTGATGAGGAAAGCAAAACTTATAATGGTGTCAGTATTACGGATTTTGGAGCATGATTTCAAATTTATGTACCCCTGACAACCTGCACGAGCTATTTCAGCACGACGTTGGCCCAATGAAACCAAAGAAATTTGAATAAAATTGCCAAAACACACCCGGATCCTCTGTGAATTCGATATTTTGCTCGGAATTTGCCAGCAATTTCTTTTCGTTGGAAAATTCGATATTTTGCTGGAAGAATTGCCGGCAAATTTGGGCTAGGCCTAATGACCATACAGGACAGCCATGTTGGTTCCAACTTTGTTTGTTGTTGTTTCTCTTACCGTAAAGTCGTGGATAAAAGCCGGGTTTGCATACAAGCACATCGCGGATAGAAGCCTGAAAATCAAACGGGTCAAATGCATATAAGCCTGTCGTGCGTAGAAGCCTGGCTTCTATGCAAGCGCGGATCGGGTAGGTCAAGAGTGCATGCGCTATGTTCGGTGCATAGTAAAACTGCCGCCGTACCGGTAGTCAGCAGTAGATCTACGCGTGTCGTGCTCAGAAGCCTGGCTTCTATGTGCATACAAGCCTGGCAAAAATATCAGTGGTGCATATAAGCATGGTTTGCATTAAAGCCTGATGCAGAAAGCGGCTTATATGCTTATAAGCCCGGCTTTTATCCGCGACTTTACGGTATTTGAATTCATTTAAGAGCGCAGGCAATTCTGCCTTCTCTCCTCCACCCGACCCCTGCATGTATAGGTCACATGATGTCTGCCATGTTGGTTACACTGTCCACATGTCTGCCACGATCACGTTCTGCACAAATTGAGTCACTTGACGAAGATGTGAAACCACTCCATAGACATTGCTCAATATGAAGTCACACTGAAGCGCATCTGTATGCGAATATCGTAGTGTCTTGCATTAAAGCCTGTCTCATAATAGAAGAGAATGATGAAACTACAATAGGATTTACACAAGAGAGAGATTGGAAAAAGGAGGGATCGTAGTAATGCGTGAAACTCAGAGTTGTAACAAAGCTTCCAATCTCTCTTGTGTGCAAGGCTCTGCCCTACATGGGTATTGAGCACTCTTCGGACAGTGAAGCACACCACTTGATTACAATAGGATTTATACGCTTGGAGTGAAAAAACGAGGATACAAGAAAAGTTAAAAAAATAGCACAAACTTCGGCCGCTTAAAATATTGTTAAAAAAGGCGACTTGGAGACACTCATCTTAATAATGCAATGAATAAAACTACAGTCCATTCGTAAAAAGATGGGTCCTGGCTCTGGCGAGCTCCCGTATTTGGCGATTTTTCGTGATTTCATCGTACACAGTGCAGTGCTGCGAACTTTGAAATTTGAAAAAGGGTCCAAAAAGGGTGCCTGAACTGGGGTTCGAACCGCAGAATGCACTGTTGCAGGCGGGGTCAAACGACCTGGATTTTGATGGTTTTTCCCAATTCAGTGCTTTTGGGGCAAAACCTGGCCGAAATCCTATTCTTGCTATGGCTTGCTTTTTGGACAAAAAAACTTCAGAAACATAATTGGAAGAGGATTCCATATGGGATTGCAGAAAAAAATTCTAAAAAAACTCAACGTTTGACCCATTTATGGCCAAAAGCTAGAAGTTCATTTTTTCTGAATGGACTGTATGTGTGCACTCATATCACAACCATAGGGACGAAAATCTTTTAAGCGGCCCAAGTGTGTGCTATTTTTCTTACTATTCTTGTATCCTCGTTTTTTTCGCTCCAAGTGTGTAAATCGTATTGTAGTTTCATCATTCTCTTTAGTCATGAGTTCCATCGATAATTGTCCTAATAGAAGCCTACTTGAATACAAACCTGATTTTTCAAGATACACTGTCGGCACATAAGCCTGGTTTAGTGTTGACATACATAGAAATACAGAAAAACCTGGTGTAAGCGACCTCTCGTTTTAGCGACCACCTGCTCTTAACGACCGTTTTTCCATGCACAGACACTGTGGGACCTGGTTCTAAAGACCACCTGGCTTTTTAACGACCGCTTTTCCTTGCACCGTGGGGCGGTTGCTTAAACCAGGTTTTACTGTACCTGATGTGAATAGAAGCCTAGCCCTGGCATCGGCTTCTACAGGAATGACCCGGCTTTTATACACACTTAGGCATGTACCGCTTGCGGTTGTAGGCTTACGTGTCATCTTTCTTGTTTTCTCTTCTTGTTCAGGTGTATCCGGCTATGCTGTGTACGATATGAGCGGTACAAAGGTGGGCATTGCGTTCAGCTGTCCGCCATTTGTCGCCGGCAAAGTCAACGTGGCCACTGGAGGCGGAAGCGTAAGTGCAACGAGACCCTCCTGCACACAACCATCACCACTGCGAGGACACTTCCGTAGACGATATTGATAACTCCTTCAGACAGCTGTTTTCCTAATACATAGCTCATCATTTTCTTCAATGGCCGACAGCTCTGTCGCACTTTGTAATAGCATGGTGCACTTACTAAAAAAAAGTCAAAAATCAGGTACTAGTAGTGCTAGTAGGCTGCGGACAGGGTTCGTACTGTTTCTTACTTTGACTATGGGATAGTTCTGTCCATTGCGATGTTGACGTTCTTATGTTAAAGATACCACTCTGATGTATTTATCCTCTGTGTGTGTGTGTGTGTGTGCGCGCGCGCGCGCGCACGTTTGTGTGTTTATGCATGTGCATACATGCGTGTGTGCATGTGTGTGTGTGTGTATGCATATGCGTACATGCGTGTGTGTATGCATGTATGTGTGTATGTATGTGTGTGTGTGCACGTGCATAACTGCAGAGTGTGTGGGATGACATGACGGACCGCGGCAGTGAGTTTGCCGTCAAGATCAAGGTGGGTCATAGCACACCGCTCAATGTGCTCTGTGAGCGAAGTCATGGCTGGGTTACAACCAACCTCTCCGTCAAGATCTATCCAGACCGAGATTGAAGCCTACACGCGATCCTATGAAAGTCGATATGTGCCGCACCTATCCACGCTTGAGCGTGAATGTGTGTGTGTGTGTGTGTGCGCGCGCACGCGCGCGTGCGTGTGTGCATGTGCGAAAGCGTGCATTTGTGCATACTAGCAAAGTAATCTTCAGCCGTATGTCATAGCATCAATCCACAGTTCATAGTAATCAGTTCTTTATAGCCGGGACATGTACCCGGGAACCCTGAAAACAGAATGGGCAGGATCCTTTTACAGAAATGGCATAACTTAAATTTTTCGTCTTGTTATGGTTATAGCTAGCCTACTCATGGTATAACTTCATAGTCTTCATCTTCCAACTCCGTTATCCTGTAACTGCATATTCTTTTAGTACACATAATCAACCAGAGAAGTCACAGTGTTCCACTGATGTAAGAGTGCTCCGGCTATATCCACCGTGATTCAGAGAATTTCACCCTGCCGGCCAGCAGCTCAGCGGCAAGTCCCGGGTTTCACATCGATGATTCTACGTCAACATCAAATAAAACTATAACTGATTTTTAACGAGCCATTCGCAGTTTCACAGTATCAAGAATGCTTGTACTTGTAGACATCACGGCCCTCTGGGTAGCCAGTTGTTCGTTGATCGTGTTGCTGCAGAACAATCCTCGTCACCGGCCCGAGCTAGTACTATACATTGCACAACACTCAACCGCAGTACAGTCATGTACCTCTGAGATTTTTTAATCTGACTTTGCCCGAATCACGAGCACCATCAACCTGTGAAAATTGGTGTGCACACGCCAGACAGTTTCTTGGGATCGGGAGAGCTTGATTTGACTGAATTTGACTGACACTGCACAAGAGGTAAAATTATTGTTCTTGCTGTGAACTGAAAGAAGACGACGACTAAAGCGCAAGGCGCTTGCGCAGAGCAAAAAAGGAGGAAAAAACATGGAGGAAGTCGCCAAGAGGCGAGTGAGTCAGTAGAAATAATAAACACGCGGCCCCGCTTCGGTGTGGGAACGCGGAAACAAACCGGGGTAGAGAACACAAACTATGACGTGTACTGCAAATAATCTCATGACGTTGAACATCATGTCAACGTCGTGACACTCCCCCGCAAGAGATGCAGAGAAAAGGAGATAATTCGTAACAAAGTAACGTGGAAACAAAACACAATAAGTGCATATATTACGCAAGGGTGAAAGAGAGTAGACCGTAACACACAGAGAGAGAGAGAGAGAGAGAGAGAGAGAGAGAGAGAGAGAGAGAGAGAAAGAGAGAGTTCAGATGTGAACTACCAACTGTCTAGCTGATTCAACTAAACAAGTTCGCTGCCAATTAATTGGCGAAGCGTCTGACGTTGCTTCTTAGCGGCAGCACGTTGTGGACGACTGGGTGGAGCAACAGCTGCTGGAACTGGCAGATCGGCTTGGCCAGTGGTGTGTGTGTCCGGAGCGGTGCTGTTGTTGTTAGCCTCGGAGTTAGCAGCAGGACAGATAGGGTACAGGAGAGACAGGGGTCGTTTGAGCTCTGTCTTCTCTGCAGTGATGACGGTTGCGGAACGTATCTCCATGTCCTTGCTTGTATGGAGAGCGACAATGCGACCAAGTCGCCATGAGCCACGGGGCATGTCATCCCTTATTAGTACAACATCGTCAACGGCTGGCTGTTCTGAAGCGGTAACGCGTGCCTGTCGGAGCTTCCGAGTGTGACTGTTGCGGAGATCAGCCAAGTAGTCGTCTCGCCAGACACGCCAGAACTGGTCCAATGTTCGTTGACCCTTCTTCCAGACAGAGAGAAGATTCTGAGCTGCAGTCGGAACTTCGATGTGGTCCGGATCGCCGTCATCAGCAGTGGGTTGCACGCCACCAGTAGTTGCGGACAGGCACAGAAAATGACTTGGGGTGAGTATCTCCTGCAAGTCATTGTCCACGTACACCAGTGGACGCGAGTTGACGACTGCTGACACTTCCATGAGAATGGTAGTCAGTTGCGACACAGTGAGGAGCGCGCGGCCAACGACCTTCTTCAGGCTTCGTTTGACTGTTCCAACGAGACGCTCGTAGAAACCACCCATCCAAGGTGAGATCGGTGGGTTATAGTGCCACTTCACACCAGTCCTCGACATGTACGACAGGACATCATCACTCGTTGCCATTTCTTCAAAGGCCACATCCAGAACAGACTTAGCTAGGATGAATTGTGGCGCGTTGTCAGACACTACCTCTTCAGGGCAACCACGCAACGACACGAACCTGCGGAACGCTAGCAGGAATTCCTCTGTGGTCATGTCTGCCACCAGTTCTAGATGGACAGCTCTAGTTGCCATACATGTCACTAGGAGGACCCATACCTTCTTGGTACTTGGCTGGTGCTTGACGAGCAGAGGACCGAAGTAATCTAGTCCCACATGGGTGAACGGGATAGATCTTGTTGCGCGGGCAGATGGAAGCGGGGCCATATCTGGGGTGCGGTATGGACCACCGTGGTGCTTCCGGCAAGTCAGGCACTTAGTGATGAATGACTTCACTGTTGCACGCCCTCGTGGTAACCAGTACTCGTAACGCAGTCTTGATAGCGTGTGTGCAACGCCGCCATGCATCGTCATCAGGTGACAATCGTTGATGATGAGCTGGGTGATGGGATGCGTTTGGGGAATCAGTACTGGATACTTTGCTTGATAGCAAAGTTCGGCGTTCTCCAAGCGTCCTCTGCATCTGATGAGGCGGTTCTCATCGAGGAAGAGCCGCAGCTTGTCCTTCGGGCTGTGCTTCTTACAATTTTCGACAGCACTGACGTCTGACAGATTCTGTTGTGCATGGTGTAGCCACATGATTTTGGCTACCTTGACCTCTGAGTTACAACTAGAATCCACCCCGAAGGACTTGCCGCCTTGTGGTCTCAACCTGGAGAGAAACCGCAAACACAGAGCAGAAACACGCACTAAGGCACTGAAAGACGAAAACCTGGCACAATCAATACCAAATGGTGGTTCATCACATGTTTTTTTTTGTTCGTGATGCGCATCAGGCTTTTTTTTCATTTCGTGTGCAAGCTCAGTGTCTGGACCGGTGGACTCTGTTGGGTGTGATACAGGTGCAGGTATCTCCGAAGTGCTTGAAGGACCCTCCCCAGCGGCAACGTTGACATGGTGATCAAGTGCTGGCTCGGCGTGATGGTCAGCAGTGGCAAGGAAGTGTGGACCGTGCCACCATAGCGAGCTGGCTTGAAGGGAAGGAACAGAGACACCGCGTGAAGGCAAGTCGGCGGGATTGTCGGCAGAGCGGACATAGCGATAGGCAACATCGGGAACCGCACGAATGGCATCAATACGGTTGTTGACGAAGACAGGTAGTTTGTCAGAAGAGGCCAGCCAATGGAGAACTGTGGTGGAGTCTGACCATAGAAAGGTAGAGGAGAAAGTGAGCGGAAGTTCCCGACGGACGAATTGGATCAGACGAACACCGACGAGTACTGAATGGTGTGGAAGGTAGTGAATCTGGTTGGTTGTAAAACCACGAGGAACATCTTCTATCATGCCCCTGTCAAGCTGGTCTTGAATCACGGTATCGTACCGGTCAAGAAGTTCCGGATGGGCTTCGAGGCGACGCACTTGTGCCTTCAGGCGACCGAAAGCCAGACCGTAGTTTGTCGGAAGAGGAGGATGTGAGTCCCTCCAGGGCCAACTCACCGCGTACCGACCCTCGGCAAAGGAGATGGAGTTGGCGAAGCGCTTGCCCACAAGATCTTGCGACGACGTATCGTCAAAAGTACCCAAGCTCTCTGTCGACCAGAACTTACGGAGGTCGAATTCAGGGTCCGCGTCTGTTTGATGAGCAAGACATGACTGCGCCTCTGTGGTGGCAGGCACAGGCAGACTGCCGGTACAGATAAAACCAAGAACGGAGTCGAGCAGGACCAGACCACCGCTTAGTTCGGTGCGGTCCTTGCCGATAATATCATAATAGTGATCGAGACCAATCAAGACGTCTACGACCATGGGCTCTGCGTTGCTGGAGAGCGGTTCTGCAAGTGGCAGAGACTGTAGAAGAGGAAAAGAAGAAGCAAGTGGACATCGCGCAATTGGAGCGGTTATGTTCGGAAGTACACTGGCCTGAATCGCACGAGTGGACCCATCCTTACACTGCATGGTCAAACTCACCTTGGCGTACACGGTACTTTTTCTTTTGTTGTTCCCAAATGTAGCCAAGGAGAGTGTTTCATTTCCGATTGTGGGCAAATCGAGCTGATCTCGATAAGCTTGCGTGATGTATGTCTTGGTGGAGCCGGTATCAAAGAGAATACGGCCATTGATCGGCTTCAGCTTGGAGGAGAGAAACGGTGCCACAGCAGTTTGCATCATGATCTGGTGATCGGCGTTTGCGACCGTGCTCGTGGCAGGCTTGGGTTTGAAGGACTGAGCATTCGGGCTCATAGTGGAAGCTTGCCTCTGAGTGGATGCGGCAGTGAATTTATCTGGACACAAGCTGCTGTGGTGTGCAGGATTGTGGCAATAGAAACACCGCCGTTTGCTAGAGCAATCGTGCACGGAGTGGCCTGATCGCAAACACTTGAAACACCTTTGTTTAGCTACGCTCTTCCTCGCTTCTACTGTAGTGTACTTATTGCATTCGTCAGAGAAATGTGCCTCCGAACTGCAAAAAACACACACTCTCTTGAGCTTCGCTTTTGAAGTAGCTGAAGCTGAGGCAACAAGAGATTGACCGGACGCACTGGCAGATGGTGATTCGTGCGATTTTTTCGGTGGCTGGCTGAGGCGATCTGCTGCTTCATTCGCTATTATGAAGTTGGCTACTGCAGCGCGCAAGTCCGAAACGGTCCAGGATTGTGGCCCCTTTTTTAATTCCAAAGCCGCTAGCGTGGTGCGTGGCAATTTGTTCGTAATCATTGACACAAACACCGCCTGATTAACATTCTCACCAAGCGCTGTGAGGCTTCGCAAGTGCACCTCCAACGCATCGTGCAACCTACGCAAAGATGGAGTAGCGTTGGACGCAGGCGGTAAGTCCATGATTGCCGTGTAGTGTGCATTGACGCGAAGCTGATCATTCCCGAAACGTTTGCGGAGAATGTCAAGCGCGGTTGTGTAGTTGGTATCTGATATGGGCAAGCCAGCTATGGCATCCCGAGCCAAACCCGTTACGTGATCTCTTAGGTACGACAGTTTCTGGACACCCGACAACCCTTGATTCGCATCAATAGACGCAACAAACATATCGTGAAACTCAGCCCATTTCAGGAAATCACCAGAAAATGTTGGTATTTCAAATTTGGGCAAATTGACTGAACTTGTGGGAGCTGGTTGTGGTTGAGGTGATGATGCTTGCATGTGTTGTACGACTAGTTGGTGTTGTTTGATTAGATCCTCTTGCGACTGTAATACTTGCTGGTGTTGACTATGTGTAATAGACTGCGTACGAACAAGATCTCCTATTGACTGTTGGATGCTGGACAAATCAACCATACTAGTTTCTTGTTTGATACCCGCACTGCCCGTACTCTTGGTGCTACTTGGTGAGCTAGTACTAGTAGTAGCAGCTTCTGGACGGTTCGTCTGGGCTCTGTACTGCGGAGATCGCTTGCATTCAACAATTGACCCTCTGATGCGTACCGAATACGCAACCACATCGCAGATCTCCGTTTGCAGAGCCTCATCTGAACCCTCCAGAGTCTCCGAGTCCAAAACACTGGCCAATGCATCACACGCCTCATCATATGCGTACAATTCTTCAACAATACAATCCACAAGTGTACTTAGCTTTTTTGGATCCGAGTCCACGTGTTCTGGCGACAACTCGTCGGCCCTTTGACCTCCTTCCTTCGATAAAAGGAGTTCGGCCTCTTTGACGAGTTCGTCGATGGATCCTTGCAGCTGCGCGATCTTGGCCCGGCGCATGATCTGCGTGCCGGTCGTCACTGCTCTCTTCGGCATGTTAGCTCGACGACCCAAATCGGGCAAGCTGCTTACAAATTATTTGAGTCGAGTCTATCTTTCTCAAGATTGGAATGGTACGCACGGCTCGTTTCGAGCTCCGGTGCGGTTCATCTCCCGGGTTTCGGCACCACTTTGTGCACACGCCAGACAGTTTCTTGGGATCGGGAGAGCTTGATTTGACTGAATTTGACTGACACTGCACAAGAGGTAAAATTATTGTTCTTGCTGTGAACTGAAAGAAGACGACGACTAAAGCGCAAGGCGCTTGCGCAGAGCAAAAAAGGAGGAAAAAACATGGAGGAAGTCGCCAAGAGGCGAGTGAGTCAGTAGAAATAATAAACACGCGGCCCCGCTTCGGTGTGGGAACGCGGAAACAAACCGGGGTAGAGAACACAAACTATGACGTGTACTGCAAATAATCTCATGACGTTGAACATCATGTCAACGTCGTGACAATTGGTCCGGCAGACCTACCCCTACCCCTCCCGGTTGTCAGTACGGATAGCTCCAGACTCTTGCCATTACTGTAAACTGCCTGAAATGTCTACGGTGTATTTTAATGTTTGCTAATTTTGCGAGAAGAGCATAATGCAAAATATTAACCGTCATGAAATCAACCTTCAACAGTGGGTGTATATGTGTTGCCACAGTGCTCCACGAACATTTGCCATCGTAAACTTGGTGGTTCTGAGAGATCGCACAGATTTAGTGATGCGAATATCAAGTGTACGGTTTACAGTATCACACTGAGTACACGCAGAAAGATCTAAAATGGGCGCTATAGTATAGGCTACAATTTTAAAGTCAATTGAATTAGTTTGATAGTTGATCAAACAAGTCTGAGTCAAGACAGTACTCCTCTCACTCTCACTGAGATCATCACTGATCATGCTAGCAACAGTTGAACGAAGCCCTGCTTTAGTCTAGATCTACAATTGTACTTGATGACATATGCAACACTATCAATAGTTCTCCTCTATCCCTATCTATGCACCACAACTGGCTCAGACAACCGACTCGCCATGATCAGCCATGATGATGCTCCTCTCAGTAACAGCCCTCACAGTTTCTCCCGCACACTCGCTGATGTTAACCCTTCCTTTCTTTTCATTTTGCTGACTCGTACAGCTCTATCTTTTGTTTTTGGTGCGTGTTTTTGGCCGTGATGCCGAGACCTCAGGTCGGCAGAGCCATCAATGCCCCACTGTAGATATCGTACATGCAGTTGTATGTAGTACTATGTACGCACGTGCAGGCATGCCGTGCTTGTACCGCTTTATGTATAGCACGAGAGAGAGGACATGGCGCACTTCTGATAGAGAACTAAAGAAGATCTGTTTAGCACAATGGCTGTCTTGTGAGTGACTGAATAGATGTCTACATTGGCGCAGTGAACGAAAATGACAAAGGGCAGGACGCCCAAGGAATTTATTCCTGACTATGCTGCGAGCAACGTCGGTGCTGATTTTGAACTCTGGCTCGAGGACATAAATGATTTCCTTTCAATCAGTGAAGTGACGGCAGCAGCTGACAAGAAACGCTTGTTCTTGAATCTGGCTGGATTAGCAGTGAGGCGCATTGTGAAAGGTCTGGTTGTCACGGTGGAGCAGACACAAGATGGCTCACCTGGAGATGAGTACCAAGCCTTGACGGACGCATTGTTGGCACACTTTCGACCGTCAACAAATGTCACGTCTGAACGTCACAAATTCCGCCAACTCCGCCAAATGGAGGGCGAGTCGGTGACTTCGTTCGTTGGGCGGCTGAGAGAAAAGGCAGATGTTTGCGAATTCAGCTCCACTTCTGTGGATACCATTGTCAACTGCCAAATTCGCGACCAGCTGATCGTGGGCCTGCGTTCTGTTGAGCTTCGAAAGGAGCTGCTGAAACAGTCGAAGCTGACCCTGAACGACGCCGTCACCAAGTCAGTGGCGTTGGAAGCGTCGATTACTGACAGTAAACTGTACGATAGTACCAGAGCTAGTGACGCACCGCCTGTGTTCCCCGTGCCCATCCAGCGTGTGCAAGCTGTCTCTGCAGCTGGTTCTGGATCAGAGGGAAAGAAGTGCAAATACTGCGGACGTAGTCACAAACCAGGCATGCGTAACTGTCCTGCGGCCAACGTCACCTGCAACAAGTGTGGCAAGCGAGGGCATTTTGCAGCGGTCTGCATGTCAAACAAAGTGGAAAGACACGAAGAAAGAGCCCGGCTGTCATGACTGCGCAGTCATGAACTTACTATTTCCCACTTTTCCCACGTCGTGCATTATTGTACACATTTCGCGTATGCATGCTTTGACCCCTACTATCTCTTACGTGACTTAGGCCTCGTTTACACGACAACGATTGAAAAACGTTTTTGTCAAAAACGTTTTCAAAAGAATACGCTTCCACAGATTTTGATAAGAGCGTTTACACGACAACGCTGAAAAACGTTTCAAAAACGTTTCAAACGAAAAACGGCCTCAAAGTGTTTTTCAATCGTTTTCGTTCCGTTTCGTTCTCGTGTAAACGGCAAAAACGTTTTACTAGTACGAGCCTTGTACTCAAAACATGCCGCCGCCAGCCTGCGCCAGGCCAACTTTTTGCACGTGACGATTGCGCGCCGAAAAGAGTGTAGCAGTGTACACGATTATCGTTTTCGTGTAAACAGCAAAACCGTTTCGAAAACGATTGAAAAACGTTTTTCAATCGTTGTCGTGTAAATGAGGCCTTAGTTGCAGCCATATCTGTTGTAAGTTCAAACGGGAGTTCAAACTCTCGCTCCTTTTGGACGCCTTACGTCATAATCGTTTACCGTGTTTTTAGAGCGGAGAACAGTTTTTCTTCTTGGTCTAGTTTTCTGGTTTTTTGGTATGGAAGTTGTGTCCGGTTAGACCTTCTTCTCGTTACAGTGTTTTCGATAATAGCACTTGATATGATGAGTTTTTGATGTTCTCACGACGGAGACGAGGGACTGTGATCACAGCCACCGTTGAACTGCCCTGGAGTGCAGTAGTAATAGTATTTTAGACCCCCTTATTTTCCCTCGTTTATGTCCGTTCGTGACATGGTGCTGTGACCAGGATAGGATATGATGTCAAGTGAAGACTCTAATCGTACTAGTGAAGCCACTGAAGGTTGTGCTACAGCCACAACATGTCAGGAAGATGACTCCCAGAAGAAAGGCCTGCAGGCCATCAAGGACGCGCAGAAGCGTCGACGCCGGTGCATGCGAAGATACGAGCGCATCAGGGCATGTACTGCATACATTTTGGAAAAAACAACAGAAAGCTATGTGGAAGTATGGATCGATCCAAAGAGGCTTCAGCCCCAGATTGACGATGCTGTACAGTTGAAACGAGAAATACTACTCACCCAGGATGAGATTTTCAATGTTCTGGACGACTTAGAAAGATGTAGTGTACACGACGAAGAAGAGGAGTGGGAGCGTGAATTTAATGTGTCTTGGCGCATTTTTGAAGATGCCCAGATAGCTGTCGACCAAGTCGTATTTGAAGAGGAGAAAGTGAAGCGTCAGTCCCAATCCGCCATTCTGGCTGCTCAGCAACAGCAGCAGAAAGCCTCAGTGACTTCAGTGGATGCCACCACCAATAGTGCCAGTGCCACTGAGGACATACCAGTAGTTGACGAGGACCGGGCGCATCAACAAACAGCAGTGCAGCTGGAAGAAGATTCTAGAGACCAGAACGAGTCTCCGGCTATGAGCAGTGTAGATGGCATCCGACGAGCATCGTCAAGTGTCAGTATACACAGTGCACCAACAACGCTGTCCACCATTGAGGTGGCGGCACAGGCAGCAGTAGCAGCCATGCAAGCTGCACGCTCCAGTCCAGTGGTGAAACTTCCTCAGCTGAAACTGTCTCAGTTCAATGGAGACATCATGGACTGGCCAGAATTCTGGCAGACATTTGAGTCCTCTGTTGGTCTTCGTCAATCGTTGCCGGACGTATCAAAATTCACGTACCTCAAAAGCGTCCTGACGGGTGTCGCCGCAGCAGCCATCGAAGGCATTCCAATAACAGCAGCTAACTATCCTATCGCAGTTACGATGCTGAAGGACAAATTTGGACAGCCTGAGCTGATAGTGGCAACACTGTATCGTAAACTGGCACAGCTGCCACAATGTAACAACAGGTTTACTGAAGTGAAGGCTACCATTGACCAAATGGAGAAACTCCTTCGTCAATTGGAAGCTCAGGGAGAGAACCTGGATACTCAGCGCGTCCTCATTCAGCAACTCTTCTCGAAGTTCCCGTTCCAGCTCATCAGCAAACTGGAGGAGCAGAGATCCGACCATACTGTGCCATGGACGGTCAAAACAGTACGGGAGATGCTAGCGAAGTATGTAGCAATGCAGAACACAGTTCGTCAGTTCACCGACAACATCAGCCAGACACCTCAGCCTAAGATACATGGACACCAGCAACAACACCATCGTCCACCAACAATGGGATTTGTATCCAGCCAGGCAAGCCCCAGAAGAGAACCGTCCTGCGTCTTCTGTCGGTCAAGCCATTTCAGTGATGAGTGTACCAACTACTCAACACTGGATTCCAGGAAGGATCAACTGTTGTCCCTACGTAGGTGCTTTGTGTGCCTCAAAGAAGGCCATATCGCAAGGAATTGTGCACACCGTAGTAGAAATTGCTACCACTGTAGCGGAACAGGCCACAGTCGTGCTATTTGTCCCAAGAAGGGTCAACAATATAATCCAGCAGTCGAAGTTCCGAAACACCAGCAAACAAATTCACTGGCCAATGGCAGTCCACAGACAGCAGCAATCGCAGCTTTGTCACCGGCAGAGGTGCCAAGCCAAGAGCCGACGGCAATTCCAGATGAAACCACGGAACTAGCCACCACGAGCGTCTCAACACTGAAAGCAGTTATTCAGTCAGCCATGCTGCAAACCGCTAAGTGTAACGTGACTGACCATTGTGGGAAGAAGGTCACGGTCAACGCACTACTGGACAGTGGCAGCCAACGATCGTTCATCACTGCAGCTCTAGCTAAACGACTCCAGCTTCCAGTCGAGAATGAAGAGAGGCTCTACCTGAACACCATGGCAGCAACTAAGTCCAAGAGCTTCAATTCGCAATCGTTCCAACTCGCTGTCAACCTCCGAGACGGTAACATGGCACAGATAATGGTGAATACTTTGCCTACCATAACCAACCCAATTGTGAAACAAGCCGTGCAACAGACCGACCTGGCGTTTCTTGAACAGCTGTCTCCAACAGCGCTAGCAGATTCTGTGCCTCACGCAATGGAAACTGTCAACATCGACTTTCTAATTGGTGCTGACTACTTTTGGCAACTGGTGGGCAATAATGTTATCACACTGCCATCAGGACTCAAGCTAGTCTCCTCCGAATTTGGATACCTGCTCACCGGCTGCAGTTCACTACCGGATGAATGCAGCAATGATGACACGACCTCCCTGGTGGTTACCAGCAGCGGTTCGATTTTCTCAGGAGCTGCAAGCGTCTCCAACCGTAACACAGAGGACAGTGTACTGTCTCAATTCTGGCAACTGGAGAATATCGGAATCAAGGATTCACCCTATGCGAATGATGACGAAATCGCACTGGCGCAATTTCGCAAGACAACGGAATATTCCGATGGCAGGTATTCCATCCAATGGCCATGGAAGCCTGATGACACCAAAGATCAACTTCCTAGCAACTACGGCTTAGCCCTTGGCCGAATGAAATCACTGGCCAAACGACTCGCTACAGACGGACAGCTGCTCGAGAGTTATGACAAGGTGATCCGACAGCAGCTCGCTAAGGGAATCATTGAAGAAGTTCAACTTTCCGGAACCAGTGGTAAACAACACTATTTGCCACACCACCCCGTTGTGACACCAGCGAAGTCAACAAAGGTCAGGATAGTGTATGATGCATCAGCCAAAGCGAGTGCAACATCTCCAAGCCTGAACGACTGCCTCTACCGTGGCCCAGTGCTACTCCCTGACCTCTGCGGCCTGCTAATGCGTTTCCGTCTCAAGCCAATTGTGATTAGCGCTGACGTAGAGAAAGCATTTCTTCAAATTTCTATTCAGCCAAGTGACAGGGACGTCACCCGATTCATCTGGTACAAGGACTGTACCACACCTGAGAAGGTTAATGGCAATATCACAGCGTACCGTTTCTGTCGAATGCCGTTCGGTGTAGTCTCGAGCCCATTTCTGCTCGCTGCTACCATTCAGCTGCACCTCACACAGGCCCAGACCGATGTGTCTGGTGCTATTGCACGTGATCTGTATGTGGACAACCTAATAACCACGGTCTACTCCCCAGAAGAAGGTATTCATCTCTACAAGGAAGCCAAGCAGCTGTTCTCAGATGCATCCATGAACCTACGGGACTGGACCTCCAACTCCGACAAAGTGTTGGACAAGATTCAGGAAATCGACCGATTGCCATCAGCATCTACCAAAGTCCTTGGGCTCAAGTGGGATAGCAAAGCAGATAACATCGCCGTGTCCAACAGCATCAATGAGAATTCAGTCGGTCCAGTCACAAAGCGCAGCGTGCTGAACAAAGTGGCAAGCGTGTTTGACCCACTCGGATTGATGACACCATCTACACTGCAAGGGAAGCGGTACCTTCGTCGGCTATGGGAGGAAGGTCTGGAGTGGGATGCCCCATTGTCCGCACCAATGCTCCTGGAGTGGGACAACATCCAATCAGCACTCCAGCAGACGACGACCGTCACCATTCCAAGGTTCATTGGTCCTGCGAGTGCAAGTCAACCGATGAGTCTACATATCTTCACAGATGCATCCAAGGATGCATATGCAGCAGCAGCTTACCTCCAAGTGCAGATTCCGGATTCCAACAAGTACACGGTGAATCTCATCTTCTCCAGATCCCGACTGACCCCGTCAGCCAACAAACCGTCCAAGAAGCAATCAGTCACCATTCCTCGTATGGAACTGCTCGGCGTGGTCATCGGATTCAGGATGGTCAAGTTCATCCAATCCCAGCTTCAACTTCAGAACAACATCCCAACATACCTCTGGACTGATGCCAAGTGTGTTCTCCACTGGCTCACAACGCCCCATCATCTCTCAACATTTGTTGCCAATCGTGTGAAGGAAGTGAAATCCAATCAGCAGCTACAGTTTCGTCACGTTCAGTCCCAGGACAACCCTGCAGACATAGCAACACGCGGTCTTCAGCCAGAGGAGTTGAAGAAGTCTTCTCTCTGGTGG